TTAAACGGTCGCGTCTCTATGAAAAAAAAGAAAAGTATTTTTACGTAGGTGTGTATGGGGTTTCTTCCGCTTTCCTCCTATAAAATGCATGGGCAGAGGTGCTGATCACATCAGTGTTACAGCCGAACGACGCTACTGAGGAAGAGAGAGAGAAGCCGCTGCAGTATGATGAAGTGCGTCCTTGTTCTCGCCTTGTTGCATTTCTGTGTCAGTGTTAAGTCAGACACTAACTTGATTACTGAGATCATACATGGACTCAAAAGTCTCAGCAAAGTCAACTTCACATATGTAAGTACTCGAAATGTTTATCGCAACTCTATGTTACAAAGTGTACCGTGGCTTCAATGATGTTTATTACAATGTTATAATATTCAGTTCATAATGCAATTAACTGATTTATTTTTCTGTTTCTTCAGAATGGTAGTGTGGCCATTAAAGTCCCTGCAGGATGTTCATCAAAAATGCCTGTAAGTTAGGCACATTATCACCTCCTCAGATGATAGATGCATTACGTTTGTTATGATAAATGAACTATGCCTTATCATTTTACCATTGCAGCACAATTGTTCAGGTGTGGTCATTAAAGAACTGGAGAAACTTCTCAGCAACGTGATTGTGCAAGAAGAGAACAAACACTATATACAAGAACTTCTGAGAAACTTGAATAATCTGCCACATCGTCACAATGTAAGACAACCAGAACAACTCTTAACAAGATCTGTTTAGATCTGCTTGTTTATGTCAACATCTCCATCCAGATGACATGCAATGTAATAGCTTCTTTTTTCCTTTTCCAGAATCCCAGTTGCTGTTTGAAATCTGCAAACATGTCCAATCAAACCTTTCGTCTCTACAAAATCTTCTTCATGAAACTGAACACTAGAATCTTGGAAAGCACAACAACAGCACCTCAAGTGACGGTAGCTTGAGTCCAGGAAGTTTCCCTTCCTAACCCTTGACATATTAACTTTCCAAATTTCAAATTCTGAATATTAAAAAAAAGCGCTTCCATATATTTATGTATTTATTTCATCATATTTATATCTATTTATTTACAATTTACTGTTTTGTATGCAACTGAAGACCTTACCTCCCAGTGATACTGTTGTAATATTCACCATGTGAAAATAGTATAGAGAAAGGACTGCGCTGCTGTCTTCAGTAAATTAACTTGTCTATACTTTATTGTCTATTTATTTATTTATTTATTCAACTAATTAGTTTGTTTAAAAGCCTTTATTTAAAACATGGTAGCAGGTGACTATGTAACACTGTTTGCTGTTTTGCCTTTTCTTGTCTTTTTTTTTAAGCACCGAGGTCTGTGGTTTTCCTTGAACTAATAGTGAAAATTTTGTGGAATAAAGAATTTAGAAACAAAGAGTTGTCTTTCTGAGATTTACTGCCTCCAGCTGAGTGTTTACGAATAGAAAATTTCTGAAAACTTTGCAGTGGCCGTCTCTTCTTTTAGAAAAGGAATTATTGAGAGAAATAATACTGTGGGTGAACACTGACATGTATGCTGCAGTGTCTAGTTTGACATCATAAAACTGGTTTGGTTTTAACTTGACATTGTACTTTTTAATGATAACACTTAAACTAAAGATCAGCCATAGACTACCTAAAACCTGGTTGTTAATGCATCACGATGAAAGTCCAGTTTGGAGTGCATATCACACAGCATACTCATTGCCATGATATTAGTCATTGAAGTGTAAGGTCATTGTTAGAATGACAGTGTTACCTGTCAAGAAGTCTGGTAACGAAATCCAAAGAGATGTGGGACCATGGCCGCCTAGGAGCAGGTAAAGGTTTTAGGAGTGCTGCAGATGGATTGTGGGCAGTCTTATTCTGGGTGCACATGGTGCACTCACCGATGTACTCCCAGAAGTCTCTAGATTAGGCCATAAGTGCCACTACAAAGAGTAGTGGCCAAAGGAGAAGAAGATGGCCAAATGATACCTGCTTTCGTGGAAGTATTTCTCCATTGTTGTAAAGACAACCAGTGGGGGGAGGAACACCAGGTAAGGCATCTATGGCACAGTTGTATGATCTGGGGGGAGGCAAAGAAAGAGCAAGGTCTTTGCATAAAACATTTGCATTTGGGGTTTTCAGACTGAGAGCAGATCAAGTTACTAACTAAAAAAAAAGCTTCTCTGAGTGCCTTTCCTCCCAGCATCTCTCCTCAGCCAATATCCAGAAATTCACTGAATAATCAGCCACACTAAGTTTACAGATTGAGCTGCATCAGCGCTGGTTCCCTTAACAAAAATACATTTCAATTTATTCAGTAATTCAGTAAGTTAACTCTTCTCTGGCCTGTGCCCATAATAAAGCTCTGCCTTGCTTCAGATTAGTTACAAGCGCAATCTAATCAGAGGCATACATTCTAATTAACTGTTTATATACCAGCATAGTGTTAGAAAGCCCTAGGCCTTTACTAACTCATTCGTGAAAGGCTCTGGTGGGGATAATGCTCATTCCGGAGGCTCAGGGGGCTGTGAGGTGTCAACGGAGAGGTTGGTGAAGTGGGCAGAGAGAATGAGGGGGCCCTGCTCAGGAAACAGCAGAGGTCAATGGTGTAGAAGCAGCAACGGCAGTGGTGAGAGGAACTGAGGAAACAAGTGGATTCTGACCAAACAACAAGGAAAGGCATCCAGTCAAAATTAAAATGCCTTCTGCTGTGGTGACCCATTGGGATCATTAGTAATACTACATCTTTAGGTATGAGTCAAACTATACACACAGTACAGTTTTTATGATTGCTATGTTTTATGTATTGTACACTATAGCAGTTCCGTTCTGATGGCATCTGCATGTATAACATTTAAGACACAATTTTACACTTTTTAAAAATTAATTAATGATTACAAAGAATTCTAGTGTAATTTATTTTGTAAAAACTCTTAATGCTATTTACTTAGCATTTCGTATTACAAAGTCGTAATAAAGGTTTATTGCTGATCAGTGAGCCAGTTCTCATGGCCAGGTCCTTAGATAATACCACTCTGTCAAAGGCTACTGGTTTGTCACAGAAACCCACAGCCCGTACCACTGATCCTATGACGCATGTATAGGTTCAAATGTGTAGTCTCGCTTATCATATTATAATTTAAGCACAATCATTTCCAAAACCTAACCCAGTTCTTTTGGTGTAACTCAACCACTAACAAAGTGAAACCACTGATTCAACCTTTTTATAACAACTGAAATAATGATTATAGATGCATCACAGAGTACATTTTTACCATATAACCCTGGTTTAACCCTGTCAATGTTAAGCCAGTTGTTAAGCAATCACTAAAGCTACTTTAGGCTACTCTTGCTGCAAAGAGTTGCCACATTTATTAATTAAATTTTATCTATCCTCATCTTATAATCAGTCTCATAATCCTTCTTGTAAAATAAGTGTAAGAAAAAAAATATTGCAAGTATAGATGATAAAAGACTGTAATTAAGAAGAGTGGGAAGGGATGTGTTGGAGGATAGAAGATGCAGAAAGTTCCCCACCCCCATTTAACTCGGTAAAAGGCATAGTGGGAAAAGCATGACAGAAGTGCCTCTTTTTTTAACTTCCCTTAGAGAAGTAAAAGTTAACAAGCTTGCATGGCAGGGCACAAAACATGCACGCACAGGCATGAAGTTTCACAGACAGGCATGTCTGATAAACACGCAGGGCTGTATCACACATGCACTCACACTAACACACAAGAGTTTGATAAGAGGGCTGGGGTTTTTTTGGCTTCCTAAAACGGCAGTTGCTTTCTTTTTTTTTTGCTCTTAGCCATCTCACTTATCGCTTTTGCATATTTTGTGGGTCATCACCAAGCAAAAAAAAAAAAAGAAAAGAAAAGAAAAAGAAACAAAACACTCTGCAGCCTTCTCACGGCTTCAAAAAAAAAAAGCTCACAACTTTAAAAAGACTTTAACCCAAGATCTCATGATTGAAAACTACATTTCCTTAGGTTCCCACAAGAGCACATCAAGATTGAGAAAAGGAGATCTACAGATGACTTCTGCTAATCTAGTCTCACACATTTTTAGTCACATCAGGTTTTCTGAAGAGTAACTTAGTGACTCATTATATTGCTAGAAAAGATAAGTAAGATAAAGAGGTTATCGTGGCACTTGTCACATGCGGAAAATCACACAGTACAGACAGCAGCAACCTTGGAGTGGCATCCATGTCTTTGAAGTATACATGAGTTAGATGAGTAGCAGGTGCACCTTTGAACACAGAAAACCAACAGAGGAGGATGCAGAGAGAGAGAAATGTAGGCAACAGTGCACCTCAACTTGTCTATTTATTCTCTGACCCTTTCAACTCTTACCCCTGCCTGTTGTGTCTTTAATGTCCTGGCAGCCAGGCAGAGAGCCTGAGCCTCAAAAGAGATGAGAAAGGACCAAAGGAATACACTTACAATATCCTAATCAAAATGATTTGTTTTTAAATTAACCACCCGTGAACTAATACTAATATATGGATAATCATAGATAAAAGAGGAAAGAAAGGACCTCAGAATTTGATTTATCTACATCGATTTGGGGTCAGTTTAAACAAAAATGGATATACTTTAAAAGCAAATACACAACTAACATACTTCTTTATCTTAATGTGACGAAAGAATGCAGAAAAAAATCCTTATCAGGATGCTGCGCCCGCATTTCTTTTCTTTCTCCAACAGGTGGCCTCAGCGACCCAATGTACTTGAACGGACCTTGCTATGATTTTATAATCTACCCCTTCATTTCAATAAACTTCACCAGATTTAAATAAGACTCTGGAAAATAACTACAGCAAGGCTTAACGGGGAACGGGATGCGTGATGATTTTCTCGTGAAACCTGTTGTGTCATAAAGCAGTGACCGAGATCGGTCGCCAAAGGGCCACAGTCACGCGCTTTCATTCCCATCGCACTTTCTCCTGAATGGGACAACGTCAGAGCGCCGGTGTGGAAAGGAGCCAGAGGTCTTCGGGATCTGGCCGCAGATGCGCACTGTGGCTGCAGGAGGACGCAGCGAGAGCGCTGAGTGACATTTGAATCCGGTGGTGTGTACTATTAAATCGCAGCAACAGTCAGCGAGCTGGCTTCCAGGGAGGACACAGGACTGTGCATTTATTTGTGTTTGCAGGAAATGGGGTCTGGATGCTCTTTGGAGGGACTTTACACTGGGAAGTTCGGATGGAAGCGGCGGGACGTTTGCTTTTAGATGTGGTATCAAGCTGCAGCTGACCGCACACTTTATCTGTAAGTAAGAAGTGAATTTGGTGCTAAAACAGTAAAATAGAGAAACCGCAAACACAGTTTGTATATATGTAGGAGGATGTGACTCCTGTTTTGAGTCACGTCTTAATAATTACAGCCCGCTCACGGGAAAATCCTGCTCTCACAGCTCCAGCCAGTGAGTGTGTTATTCTAAATCGGATCATTGGCAACACAAATTACAGCTGTACGAGGGTTTATTGGGGCCATTGCAAAATAAAAATAATAATAATAATAAAGTAATAAATTTAGTGGACACACAGGAAGATGGGAATAGTAATTAGCACACTGATTAAATAATAGTAAATAATACAATTATTTTTATGCAAATAGGTCTTTCCTTGATTCAGCCCAGATTTACCACATTATGAGAGGCATCCGAATTCTACAAATACATAACTATAACTGGAAACTATTCAAAAGGAGACTGATTTTGATGAGGTGAAATTTGGAGCATCAGGAGCTACAAAGAGATATGCAAAGGTATGATTGGTTATTATTGTCCAAACTGCGCTCTATCATGGGCCAGTTAATGGTGCTTGGGGTGTGATGAGGCTGAATGAGCCCCTTCCCCCCCAAATCTTTTTACCTTTTACTTACAACAGCCCTGATATTCTTTTGCTTAATCAGCTATATTAACAATCATAGCTATTATATAAACCACAACACAACAAACTACAAAAAAGATATATAACATTTAGAAAATCATGCATATTTATGATTACTTTTATCTTACACAATATTGAATTTTTCTAGACTAATTCATTTATTTTAATCCCCAGGGCTACTGATGTGTTCTGTAAGCAGACAGAGGATTCCTGCGATTACATTGGGTTTGGGGCTAAAACAGAACAAGCAGAAGAGAATCAGTGACTACACCACTGCACTGAGGAATTAAGGTACAACTACCTCTCCATCAGTGCAGCTCAGATGATGTCAAATCTATTTTACAAGGTCAGAGGGCAAATGTCTGTCCCAGAGAGCATTTGCCTGAAATGTCTCATCTTTCATCATTTATCAGACGATAAATTGATGGAGACTTTTTGCAGTAATGGAGAACAGGAGCCTCATAGAAACTAGTGGATAAAATGTAACAAGACTCTTCAGTATGACATAAGCAAAGAACCCCCTCCTCCCCAAGCACACACTCACTTTCAGGGATGGATCCCATGAACTTTACAACGGTCATTGACAATGGGTTTTTGGACGAGGCGCCATCGAGTCGTGTCCTAACTGGCTGTTTTCTCTCGCTGCTCATCCTCACCACCTTGCTTGGAAACACTCTGGTTTGCGCGGCCGTCACCAAGTTTCGCCATCTGCGTTCTAAAGTGACCAACTTTTTTGTGATCTCGCTGGCCGTGTCCGACCTATTGGTTGCCATCTTGGTGATGCCCTGGAAAGCAGTGACGGAGATCGCCGGATTCTGGCCGTTTGGCTCTTTCTGCGATACCTGGGTAGCTTTTGACATTATGTGCTCCACGGCCTCAATTCTGAACCTTTGCGTCATAAGCCTGGACCGCTATTGGGCCATCTCCAGTCCTTTCCGCTATGAGAGGAAGATGACACCCACAGTGGCCTATATTATGATCAGTGTGGCCTGGACGCTGTCTGTCCTCATTTCCTTCATTCCAGTGCAGCTCAACTGGCATAAAGCCCAAACCAAATCTTACACTGCTCTTACTGGATCCTCTGTTTCACTGGCATCAAACGCTACATCTTACCCAGAGAACTGTGACTCAAGCCTAAATAGGACCTACGCCATCTCCACCTCTCTTATAAGCTTTTACATCCCTGTGGTCATCATGGTGGCCACCTACACACAGATTTACCGCATTGCCCACAGACAAATCAGGAGGATCTCTGCTCTAGAGCGGGCAGCCGAAAGTGCCAAAAACAGACACGACAGCATGGGCAGAGGCTCCAGCATCGCAGACTCAGAGAGCTCCTTCAGGTTGACATTCAAGAGGGAGACAAAGGTGCTGAAGACGCTGTCAGTGATAATGGGGGTGTTTGTGTGTTGCTGGCTCCCATTTTTCATCCTCAACTGCATGGTGCCCTTCTGCGAGCAGTCGAACGGAGGGGAGGCTTTCCCCTGCATCAGCCCCACCACGTTTGATGTGTTCGTGTGGTTCGGCTGGGCTAATTCCTCACTAAACCCCATCATCTATGCCTTCAATGCGGATTTCCGGAAGGCCTTCTCCATCCTGCTGGGATGCCACAGACTGTATCCAGGAGGCCACGACATAGAGACGGCCAGTCTAAACAAGAAATGACTCACAACTCTCTCACAGCACTGACTCATCCCTTAATTCTTAAAACAGTCCAAGAGTTCCTGTTGCAGCCAGTCTGATTGACTTGAAATGCAAAGGCTGCTTTCGTGCGCTAACTCTTATTTTGACTGAAGGGTACGACGACCCCACATGCATCCATGTTTGCATTAGGTGAATGGTCTGCCTTTGCGATGTCTACCATAGCGGGCTTGCTGTGCTCGTCATTGTCTCTACACTGTCTTCAGATAGGAGAAGCTCCCGATAGAGGAGAGAGGATTTGGGATTAAAATCTGCCGCTGTTGCACCAGGGATCTGGGAGAGCAGCGGTGCTGACAAGCTCTTGGGATAGATAATCCCATGACTGGGCAGCACACACCCTAATGATGTCAGACACTGCTCTCTTCTATATCATCAAACACACACACACAAACAAACACTGTCAAAACATGCTCCCCGAAATACCATGTAGCACCCAGCATGCACACTACAACAACAAATTCCATGACAGCACACAGAAACACTCTTAGTCTTTACACTGACATTTCAGGACCTGCAAAGACTACAGCAGTAAAGCATCAAGCCAAATTATGTCGAACATATGTACAGGTAAAGTACATCCACAAGTGACTTAATATTACAGCTAGAATGAAAAGTGAATAAATTCAAGTGTAAAAGGAAATCCCTAAGAAGTGGAGACGTAAAAATGTGATCTGAATCCGTATAGGATGCAGAGATGGGGAAAAACAAGCCGACTGCCTCGTTACTGGTTGAAATGTTATTTATAAATCATCGACATTTGGAATCATTATAACTTTAAACCAAATTTACAAACTTGTGACCTCAGAAATGACACCAGTCAGCAGCAACATTAAAACCATTTGCCTAATATTGTGTAACACTTTGGGCCCTGTGGGTTGTGAGGTGGGGCAACGGTGGATTGCATCCTGGAGATGCTCAACTGAAGATCTGCTAAGTTCAGAGGCCAGGTCAGTGCCTCTGGCTCTTCTTGTGTCGAGTCATCACTGAGCAGTTTTTGTAGGGTGGAGGGGTGCCTTGACCTGCTGTGTTCAGGGAATAAGTTGCCACTGGGTTGTGTTTGTTCTGCCGCTATGTTCATGTGGGTGGAATATGTCAAAGTAACATCTAGATAAGTGTTTGAGCCCAAAGTTTCCCTGCAGAGCATTCCATTTTTACCAGATAAAGAATGTTATTCATTTTACCTGTTTGTGGTTTTAATGTTGTATCCAATTGCCTGATTTGTCCAGTGCTTGAAAGTGTTTTATTGGCAGAAGACAGTATTGTACCTGCTATGGATGGGATTATTATGGGATTATGGGTTCTTTATGTGAAAACTGAAATGGGTTGGTGTAATGTTGTTTCATGTTCCTGTGAAATTTAACAGAAATACAGTGTCAACTGGTGACACACTTCCTTTGTGCCATAAATTGCATAGTAAAAGCACATCTAAATGACAATTGTGTCATTTTTTGTGACCGTTATTTACCATGGGTCTTGTTCTCACTGATTTTGTCACAGTTCTTATTGGTTTGGATACATTACTGAATTTCTCTGTGAACTCCAACAAGGCAATGAACACAAGATGCCAGACAATCAGCCAGCCTACAGTTTAGAGCATTACAACTACTGCTTTTCTGAGTTAAACCTAACAAGACGGACAATGCAAAAAAGCAACTTGTAGCACAAGAAAACCGCATGACAGGCAACGGGACTCTCGTACAAAATATAAGTTAGAAAGAAACAGAGGAACACCATAATTTGTAAGAATTAATTAAAAACCACACAACTCTATTGGGAAATAAAAGTCCACTTATCAGCTGTTTTACTTCACTTGAAACATAAATGAATTTTGGTGTAATAAAGATGTTTTTTAAAAAACTTATTACATCACATCATTCAAGTTGCTAGTTTGACATGAAATGCATTAGACCACAGTTTAAATTATGCTTTAGACTGATTTTTACATTTATTTACTGCTGTACTTAAACTGCAAATTTAATAATATGTTTTCTATATCAAATGCATCTTTTCATTTCCAATAAAGCCCCCCAAAATAAAAAAATCAGTAATCGTCAGAAGAATTTTGCTCATCAAAGATGAATAAACAAGACAAATCTTAATTATTATTATCTTTATTATTTTAGTGAGGCCACTATGTTCCCATATAATGAATAAAAAATGGCCCATGTTTTGGAAAATTAGCTGTCTTGTCTGGTTTCCTGTCTGGAAATCTTTCATCAGTAGCAGAACCCCAGGAAGTAATGAAATAGTCCTGCACGTATTGCAATGTAATATAAACACTTTTTATACCGCAAATCAAAATTAATTTTAGAGGTGCTGGTAAATATTCTTTTTAGCTTTGGAGAAAGTTAGCATTTGCCACTGCTTCCAATCTTTTGCTAAGTGAATTTTTCTCTTTGTGTAAGCTAAAGCTGACTTAGTTTGCTAATGAGCTTTAGCTTGTTCTTCTTCTTCTTTTTTTGAAAATTACCTGTAGAAGTATTAGTAAACTTTGATTTTAGCTTTGAAAAAAAAAACTTTAAACAAAGCTAGTTAGCATTTTTACTGCATCCAATCACTGTGCTAATAATTCTGTTTCTGTAGGCTTTAGCCACCATTGCATTCAACATTAGCTTAATTTTTCAGGCCCAGGGGTTGTCACTTGGGTGACAGGCACAAATTCATCTGACAGACATGAGTGGTGTTGACCATCAAATCTAAATCTTGGCAGAATCAATCATGACTGATAGATGTTGTGGCCAAAACTGTGAAAATAAGACCCAGCAAATATCAGAGACATAACAAGATAAAGAACATCATCATTAAGATCTACTGCTAATCTCTTAGCCAGAGTGAGATTTCATGACAAGCAAAAGCTGTAAGTGTGTTGTGAGTGAATATGCAGGTGTTATATTGGTTTTACTACTGCATACATGTTATGTTACATTCAGAACTGTATAAAGCCATCAGAAGAAACAGCTGTGCAGTGTCTGCTTGTGCATGTGGAAGCATCAGTGCACATGTTTATAAATGTATATTTGTCCATTTTCATGAAATCCACAGGGTGTGTGTGTGTGAGATAAAGAGACAGAGTGGCTGCACAGCCTTGACCTCCACACATCAAATTACCTAAAGCCAATTTCACACCAGCATCCAAAGAGCAAAACCTAATGGGATCAGCTGCGCTTCACATCTAACATTTCACTCTCACATAACCCTGGTGTTCATGTGTTTGTTCAGTCCGGTGATGTATTGCCATCATTAGTAAAGTGAAGCGCCTAATCAGAAGTTGTGAATAGCCTGGCATAATAAAGGAGTGCAACCATTGTGGCACCTCTTTATCCCCACTGTTGGCTTTGTTTCTTTCTTTGATTGCATTACAACATTTCCCACTCTATCAATTTTTAAACAATACCAAACGGCTAAACAAGAACTTTGATTCCGATGCACCTTTGTCGCCTCCGTGTTTCAGTTCCTTGTTAAAAGAAGAGGATAAGGAGGATTGTAGATTTTAGTTTGCGGTGGTTCCGCTATCTTTTATGGATTTACCTGTGACAAGAACCTAATCCACTCAGATGCTTTAATGGGGAGTACGAGGGAAATTGAAGTAGTTGAAGTGTGAAAAGACAGCAGAGCAACGACAAGGACAAAATAAATTATATTTGGCAAGACCCAGTTACACACTCTGTTCCACATTAGCCTGCTGTGTCATCTTAAAAGATAAATCACACTCAAAGATGGTTTGACATGAAGTTCATGTTCGGTAATGTTAATGAATATCTCAGTACATGCGTCGTAAAAATCAGAACTTGATTAATTTTTCTGTAGAACTGTTGCTTCGTCTTGCAGGTCAAGCATTTTAAAATAATTACGGGGCAATAAATCCCTCTCAATAAGCAGCAAGTCTAAGATGTGACATCGTTCAGTTGAATTAAGTTAATGCTCATTATAAATATGTAAAAAACTATATACTGTGAGAGAAACTCTTCCTCTCATGGGCACAGACACACACGCACGCAGAGCTGTCCTTTAAAGGCCGCTCTCTCTTGGCTCTGGACTGTCCTTGCCTCTAAGAAACCTCCTCAAGCGTGCCACGAGAAGGGAACAGCAATTAATTTGAGTGACATCATTCAGAGTGATGGCTGAGGTGGCAACAAGACAGTGTGTTTGTATGTGTGTGTGTGTGCGAGGGAATGTGTGTCTGTGATGCAGTGCTACAACTGCTAGCTCCAGCGCCCAACCCAGAGTCCTTGCAATGTCATGTGCACTCGGCGAACACAGAAAATTTCTGTTTGCTGCCCTTTCTTTCCCTCCTGTGGAACTTGTGATATTCTCAGAGCAATCCTGCCTTTTTGGATTGGCACTTCAGAAAATGGATGTTAGATGTGGTAACTTTAGATGATGCTAATGACTGGCCTTAGGGAAATGATTTACTGAGACAGAGAGCGAGAGAAAAAAGGGACAAGGAGACAGACAGTCTTATGTAAGAATCAAGCAATGGCAACTTAAAAAAAGAGACACGGCGGATGCTGTGTAAATATCACATAACCCACCAGAAAGTGTCATCAGTCTGACTGCCGTCACATATATAATGAAGGATCCTGTAGTCACATACTGTTTGCTTCAAGAAAGATACACCTGGCGATGCGAAGGTGGATTTTTAATATCATTAATGATTCCTCCGTCACCTCCCCTCCTCAGGGGAGGTGATGGAGAATTAAAATGCTATTAAACAGTTTGCCATAATCTGTATCACTCTCCATTAAATATGAATTATTCAAAACTGTCAGAGCTCTTATAATTGCACTAGAGCCTAATGCATTTTTAATACCTCGCACAACACCAGGATAAGCATAATTGAGAGCAAATGTGTTAGTGGCTGTAGCCAAAGTGCATCAACACAGTTACATGCTGAAAGTCATGAATACATTTTGCATGTTAAAAACCGCTTTTTAACTTTTTTTTTGTCTGCGTCTGGTCTCGCTGCTGAAATCAACAGATGTTCTATGATGATTTTCGATTAGTTTGAGGTGAAAGAGCATCAGCACAATCACAACACACACCCAGCCACTCAGATTCTCTTTGTGTCGGGGTCGATAGAGGCTCTATTTGCAAATGGCACAGCAGATTCAAAAAGCTTGTCTGATTTCGGCAAAAGGCTGCTCTTCAAAAATAGATACATAAGCTTAAGCCAAAGGTTGCCCTGCAAATCTTTTGACCTTTAGTGCCCGTTCTTTGCGGCAAGCCTTTCATTCATCTTTCTGATTTTGCTCTTGCTCACCATTTCTCTTTCTTATCACACTCCTCCGCTCTCTTCCTCCACCCTCGCACTGTTTACTGTTCGTGCTGCAGACCCGCTGGCATTGCTGCGTTACCATTCGTCACTCTAACTGGCTCCAGTGGAAAGGACATGCCCTCTGACCCCACCACTGGGAAAGGACCAAGGGAACGAAGAGAAAGGAATGCTCACACAGAGAACTTCAGAGAGATAAGAGAAAAAATATTTATGCGAGTGAGGGGTGCACAATAAAAGACTGGTTTAATCTTAGCAAACAACCTGCTTACCAAGAGTTTGGTCTACTAGTTTGGTTAAACATAGTACAGTATACTTTTGCACAATACTGTAAAAAGCCTCAAGCCACCTGTGTATTCTTTATATTTTTATAATTATATTTTGCAATTTATAAAAAAAATGTGCAAACATAAATCAAACAGTATATAAGGCCAAAACAGGCCTTTTACAATTCCAACAATATTTGATATGACCATGTTTAATTCTTTAGCACAGCCTTAACTCTCTTTGGGAAGCTTTCTTCTAATCTCTTTTTAAATAAAATTCAGGAATAGTTCTCTAGCCTTCTTGAAAGACATTCAAACCTCTTCTTTGGATATCTGCTGCCTTTTGTTCTGTTCTCTGTCAAGATATTGTTGTAATGTGACTTCACCTCATGCTACACTACATGAACCCTTTCTCCCTTTCTTAAGAATGGCTTCTTGACAGACTCCTTTCCATTGAGACCATTTCTGCTGAGGCTTCAATGAACAGTAGATGGATCCGCTGAAGGGCCAGTTGCATCTCTCTGGTCCTGTGTCGGGTCTTTGGTGGAGTTTTTCCTATTTCTTAAGCCCTTTCCACACCAAACATGTAGACACAACACTGGTTCATGCCTTGAGTTATGTGCATTTTTATGCGTGAGTGGTTATCATGTCAGTATTAAGTAGATCAACCAAAAAAATATCCTAAGGTACAAAGACTGGTCTGAAAATGAGTGAAAATTTACAAATATCCAAGGCAAAAAAATGTGTTGCGTCACAAATGGCAGAAATTTTTAAACAGACCACAGTGGAAGACAAAGTGAGTAAAATCTGGCAGATGGCAAATAACGGTTGTGTTTATGTGGCTCAGGACCATGTTCATGCTGTTTGCACCATAGGATGTTACACTAGGACACTGCGTGACTTTCTTACCCTGGTGGATGAATTCTCACACACCAAAAAAGCCTAAAAACTTGCAAAAGCAAGTTTGGTTGTTTTTGTTTGTTTGTTTGTTTGTTTGTTTTTAGCAAAAAAACCCAAACAAAATATTGGTGTGCACAAATATGCTGTCAAGTATCACAAAGAAACTGAACATGAGTACTTAGAAGTCCTGCTGATTTTCTGCTGCTCATGTATGTCTGAGTAGTGATGTGCAGAACAATGTTAAATATGTAAAAGTGTGGAATTCTCCATTTCTGTATCCCATCTGAGCTTATTCTAAAAACCTAGCCAGAGATTAGTTGATGCTCCTGATGGTGAAGAGGTGTATACTTTAGGTAATCCAGATTCTAGTAAAATGCTTTCCGCAAAATGCCATCACCACGGCTTTGTAGTCGCATCAATCACATATAAATCTGTGATGTCAAAGCAAGTTTTAAGATATTAAACTGTCAGATAACAGAAGAAAATAGTCATACTCATTTCTTTCTCTATTTGGCTTCTTTCTAGCAATCTCTCTTCTGCCCTTAGTAAATAAAAGGAGTACAAACACTCTTACCATTTAATTTTCATATTTTTAAAAAGTGCATGAGAGCAGCACAAGCATGACTCAGCACATGCAGTCATCAGCTCCAAAGCTCTCACATTCAGCACTGCTCACTGTTTAGCTCATTTAGGCCAGACAAACAGCAGCCATCATTAAGCCCATGAAGCAGGGCAACTATCTCCCAGTTCCCAGTAGATTTGGCAGTAATCACTCTGTTGCTCTGTGTCTGGCAGCTCATTCAGCTGATGATGTTTTTTAAAAAGACACATCTTCTCCCGCACAAGCTAGCTGATTAGCATTAGCATCACCCCAATTCACCTCTGGGGCGTCCTACCAGCAAGAACATCAACATTAGCATCATTAATAGCATTTTCTCCACTTAGAGCTGTCTCTGCCAGACAGCACCTCTTCTCTCCCCAACTAAGCTGCAGAGCGTGGCTGGAGTGGACAACATCCCTGCTGAGAACACTGTTCACCCTCCAAACTCATTTGCACCCAGCTTATTATTCAGTGTATAATTTGATTAGCTTCCACTGCCTTGGCTTGTTACTCATTTAATCTGCTTCAGCGATGTTTCCTTCTCCACCTCACTGACAGTTTGTGGTACGCTACCAAGGCAATATAAGCCGTTTTTTAGCCAACATTAAATCTGCTTTCTATAGTGGATTTGGTCAGGACAAATCAGGTCAGTTTATTTTTTTAGCTCATGTCCCCTGGAGGTCACTCCATGAGACAAAATGACCAACCACTGGTTTGTGAAGTACCTCAATGTTAGCAACATGGCTGCTTTTGCGCTGCCTTGCTAACACCAGAAGCGATTGTATTTGGAAGAAAAAGTGGAGTGCTAAATCCTCAGCTAATGATAGCAAGCTTGATTAACCAGCTGGTCTATGGAGATTAACTAGCTTTTGGAGTCCGCCTCAGGACTGCCTCACCTGGAAATGCCATTTTTGGCACCAGCCCCGGAGGTTGCTGCCTGAGTCAGATATGACGCTGAATAATAATACCATCCACAGTACCTCTATATCTGACTGAATAAATGCTTAAGCCTTGATTAGACTTTGACTACATTTGGGGCGATCGTGGCTCAAAGAGTTGGCAGTTCGTCTTGTAACCGGAAGCCCTGGCTCGGACAGTCTCGGTCGTTGTGTCCTTGGGCAAGACACTTCACCTACCGCCTACTGGTGATGGCCAGAGGGGCCGATGGTGCGATATGGCAGCCTCGCTTCTGTCAGTCTGCCCCACGGCAGCTGTGGCTACAACTGTAGCTTGCCTCCACCAGTGTGTGAATGTGAGAGTGAATGAATAGTGGAATTGTAC